TGATCTAGTTGAGACCAAGATAACGGAACGATTGCTGGGGATCCAGAATTTTGTGTTTGCCAGAAATAGGCCGTCGTTGTCACTACCGGGCCAGTACACATAGCTGCGTGCGACTGCCTTCACTCTGTTCATACCAGGGTGAACAGATTAGAGTTGACTGTATACGGCTTGCCGGTGACGGGAAGGAATGACAACGCGATCCGCAATCATGAGACAGGAATCGATCACGGAAGAAGTGCCTCGGGGCTGATGCAGTTGTTTGAGTTCTCCAAATAAGGCACTGCGGTCGCAACGAGACTGGACCTTAACGTGGTGCGACGGTTTGCGTACCTCACTAACCCATTGAGCTATACTGGGTGATGCCTCCGAGCATCTTGAGAGCTACTCCTACCAGGTTGGTCAGTGGTGAGAGGTCAGACAAACTCAGTCTCCTGGTCCTCCAGGTTGGGGTTTGAAATGCGATGGCATCCATTTCTGTAAAACTAAATCACTACCACCCTACCACCTGCACTATTTAAGGATGGAGGTGAGGTCCTCTGCGAAGCACTGACCTCCCTATTCGAACGTATCTGGAACGAAGAGAGTGTGCCGGCTAATTGGAGCGAATCGATTATAGTGGCAATATACAAAAAGGGCAGTCGCACAGACTGTGCGAACCACAGGGGTATTAGCCTAACGCCAGTCGTGACAAAATTACTGGCCTCGATTATCGTTCGTCGCCTCACTGCAGAACGGGAATCTCGGATTAGGGAAGAGCACGCAGGTTTCTGCCGCGAAAGTGGCTGTATAGACTATATATTTACTTTGCGGCAGGTGCTAGAGCAGCGCCACGCATACCGCAAACCGACAATAGCTGTGTTCCTCGATTTCAAGAGTGCGTTCGATTCAGTCGATCGATGCACTGTTTGAAATACTTGGGCGGAAAGGTGTTCCCACGAAATATGTGAACATCCTTCGTGCTCTATACTCGAACACTAGAGGCCGCGTCAGGGTCTATGGTGCCCTATCGGATAGCTTTTCGACTACAAGTGGCGTTCGTCAGGGTTGCCCGATTTCCCCGTTTTTGTTCAATTTCGTCGTGGATTCTATCATGGAGGGTTCCCTTGCGGAATCACACAATGTAGGTGTTGAAGTGCTGCCTGGTGAAAGGTTAGTTGATCTAGATTATGCGGACGATATCGTCTTGCTTTTCGACGATGTTGCGACGGCACAATTAACCCTGATTAGCCTATCCAGAGTGGTCCCATTATTTGGTATGCACTTCGCACCTTCAAAGTGCAAAGTGTTGCTACAGGACCACCAGCCACTCGATGACCGCTTGACGCTTGCTAACCAGAAACTCGAGGTGGTTGATCAATTCACTTATCTTGGCAGCTGCATCAGCAATGATGGGCGCATAGAAACTGACGTGAGCTCACGCATTGCAATGGTCAGAGCTGCCTTCTCGAACCTGCGCCATCTTTGGCGTCAGAAGGGAGTTTCCCTCCGTCTGAAAGGCCGTGTATACAAGGCCACAGTGAGGGCCGTTCTGCTCTATGGTAGTGAGACTTGGCCCCTTCGGTCTGAAGATCTGAGGCGCCTTCAAGTCTTTGATCATCGTTGTTTGCGAGGCATTGCTGGTGTCGCATGGCCCCAGCGTGTCCGCAACGATGATGTGCGTAGGCGAGTACTAGGTGGTGATGATCATGCTAGCTCCCTAGAACAACAGATAGCACTGAATAAGTTGCGTTGGCTCGGGCACGTGCTACATATGCCTGGTCACCGCTTACCTAGGAGGGCCTTGTTTAGTCCGCCAGGTGTAGGATGGCGTAAGGCTCGAGGTGGACAGAAGTTGACTTAGCAGCGGGAAATGAAGTCACTGACGACCAAACTGTGTGCCGTTGGTTCGTCTCGCCTTCCGGGTTGTAGTCCACGTGACTCACCTTGTGCTTGGCTCGAGACTTTACAGGACATGGCTCGCAACCGACACCAGTGGCGCGTCTGCTGCCGTCTCCTAATCGGATTGTCTGTTTAAAGTGTGTTTGGTGCTGAGCTATCTGCGGGGTAATGGCTGATTATGACGCGTGGCAGTGAATGCCGCAAGGAAGCTGTCTCGCTGATGCCGTCTTATCTTTGCACGATAGCCAGCTGTTTGTGAGGTTATGTTGTCTACACAAGATGTAGGCGCCCTGACCCTGAATGTTTGCTTAGGGCATTAAGGTTTTCAGGTAAGTCCCCCTTCTCTCCCTCTTCTTATTCTTTATTTCATAGGTCCTCATGATTGTATGGCAGCGAAGCATCAGTTCAAATGGCTGATGTACTGCTGTTGATGGTGATGATGACAAGGCAATGTTTGACCACCGCGTCTTGTCGTAAGTGACAGCTTTTGGTAGGACAGGGTCTTGTGCAGTTGCTCGACGTATGTCGGTGGCTGTAATGAAGAGACTTCGGTAACGCTCGAGAGTTGATGACCAACGTCCTCCTCAACGGTAACAGCGACGATCACCGTGTCTTCTTCTGTAACATGTTTGAAAATTAGGCGAGAGAGTCTTTCGACGTTACCGAAATCCTGTGTGCAGCAGTGGTGGATTTACAAGCCATAACCAAGCAGAATGATAGCCCAATGCTGAAGTCGGCTAGTTGAGTATGCGGGAATGCCCAAACCGAATGTCGAAAACAGGGGCTTGTGATCAGTCAACAATGTGAAACGCCAGCCGCACAGCACCTTGTGGAACTTGGTTACTGCAAACATGATGACCAGGGCTTCCTTTTCAATCTACCCATTGTTCTCCGCTGGCACTAACGTACGTGAGACTTGCATAACTGCTTTTTCGGAACCATTCGGGAATCGTTTGGAGAGAACTGTTCCGATCCCGTAGGCAGAAGTGTCAGCAGCGACCGAAATCAGCAAGGTTGTCTTACTGGGTCAGTAGTAAGTCAGAACTCAGTATGGATTTCAAACGCACGAAAGCCTTCTCGCATGCGAGGAACCAGTGTCAAGGGACGTCCTTATGCAACAACCGGTTGAGCCTGGCGCGAACCTGGGATAGCGATGGTAGGAAGGCACTGTGGTAGCTGATGTGACCAAGGACGAACCGCAGTTCTAACACATCTACTGGAGATGGCATTTGCTGTTGGCTCTGACGTTCGCAAGGTCTAGATGATGGCCACCCGCATCGAAAACGAAACTAAGGTATTTGATCGACGGAAAAACGAATTGGCACTTCTCTGCTTTCAAGCGAACTTTCTATTTCTGGACTCGCTGAAGGACCGCGACCAGGCACTCTTAGCTCTTCTGAGATACGACCCATAATGAGTAGACCGTCCTGGTATGCGACCGTACCCGGAATGCCAGAGAACATGGTATCGATGGTTTGTTGAAGAAAGGTCGGAGCGTTTTGACACCAACCGGGAGCCTAGTATACTGAAGAAGACCACGGTATGTTGATCGTCCAAAGGGTTTGTGACTCAGGGGCGACTTCAGTATGCAGGTAGGCGTCTGCTAGGTTAATTTTGGCGAAACACGTACCACCGTTGGATATTGTGAATAGGTTTGCTGGAATCGGTAGTGAGTAGCAATTTGGCTCTATCGCAGCGTTGAGGCCGGTGGAAAATTCGGCGCAGATGCAGGGATCCATGCAACCCTTTGACCACGACGATGAGCGCTGCCCAGGTGGAATAGGACACAGGCACCTAGATGTTCATGTTTTCCAAGCGTTTGAGTTCGACATCAACCATGGGTGTCTGCCTATGGGACACATTTTTGGACGGAATACCGATTGCGCTTCATGTACGAGCTGTACCACGGCGCGCGTGCGTGTACGACAACTAAGACCATCACAGGACACTGGAACGAACTGTCTGATGGTGTCATCGGTTTGTACGCTTGGTACTTCTGGAGCATGTGCCGCGTTTTAGAAGGCCCGAAGAGTCAGCTCAACCAAGCCAAGACTTTCAAGCCAGTCGGGACCAAATAGGTTGAGCTTCATCTTTGTGATGTAGCAGTTCCCGTTGAACGCGGTGTCTAGAACGGGGATGGAGCAATGCAGATGCTCAGTTATCTGCACCCCACTACCAAAGGCGCTAGTGGCTGATTGCGAAGTCGGTTCGAATGGAGATTTGCCGTGGGATCGCCAGAGATCCTCGGAGATGATCGTAATGTTGGACGCAACGGGATGGACTGACCGTTAACCAAGATGTCGAAGAATTTTCTGAGATCCATAGCGTTGACTATAAAGGTGGATACTCGCTCAAACAGCTGCCAACCAGACCAGGTTTGGGTTTGCGTCTGGGACCTCTTCTTTTGATCGGGGTGGGGCCAACCCAGTTTTGGTCCTCCTGAGAGGTGCAGGTTGGCAGTAACCATCCCTCTGCCCCAGCCTACCACAATGTTGGCATCAGTGCTGGCGGAAATTGCAGTCTCGGTGGAAATGCCAGGCACCAAAAAATGTGCAAACATAGGGTGGGGACCTCACGCGGTCGGGTTGGGTGGAGCGCACGGACTATTGCACCCTAACTGCTGCGATTGCGTGGACCATACCCGGTGCAGTGGCGTTGTGCATCATGGCAGAGTCGTGCATCAGGTTGAGCTGCGTTTGACACTCTTCGGCCGTATTCTGGAGTGTGACTGTGGTATCCCGTTGTAATTTGGATAGGAACCGCTTCCGGATATCGCTATCGTGTGGGGATTGGAAGCCAGAGATTGATATCATGCATTCGAATTAATCCTCTGTGGGCGAACCAAGTTGAAAACCCTCACATTCACGGTTGACCATGCCTGCGCACGTGGTCAAGTCATCGGCATCACACTTGCTCAACTACAGACATTGAAAACGAGCATTGAACAGGGGATGACTGCTCGCTTAAAACCTGCAGCAACGGACCTCGCCTTTGCAAGTAACGTTTCATGGGTTCTTTGGCAAGATGAAACCAGACAAATTGATGAGCACTCCTCCGAGAGCATGGTCGCGCTTATGAAGCACGCGAATCAGACTGGCTAGAGTGACGCTCATCACGTAACCATGCAAGTCCCTACCAGCCGCACAAAAGGAAAGATAGAGCGCGAGGCAGATCTTTGGGAGTTCTTCTGCTACCCACAAAGGCCAAATAAGCTTGGCACATCGGTCCGTTGTCTAAAGGTAACGAGCTTGTCTTGTAATCTGGCGGCACAAGTTAAATCCTGTATCTTTAGCTCACGTTTGACCGGTGGTGGTTGCGCTTTAGCGAAGCGTCGGTACTGCTTACCAGCTTACTGCTGATGTCTTTGTTTCTTCTTCTTTCTTTCACTTTGTTGGGAAAATGAATCACCACGCCCAGCGTATAGTTTACAAAATACGATTGTTCACTTTGTCACAGCTGCACCTGGATTGGTTTGCAAGCTGTTAGGTTATGGCGTAGCCCGCATATTAGAATCCGAGGCGCAACTGCGTATTTCTTTGGGACCACTTGACGTCGCCGCAGGAAAAAGAAAATAAATGATTGGCTTGAGTGATCAGCTTTGCGAAAAATAGCTCGAATGATAAGTAAAATTATTGGTGGCTAGCTTGCTTTTAAGTCATATCGGCACTCGATCAGTTGCGGTGAGGAGGTGCAGGTTAAACCTCTCTAGGGGCTACCCACCTGGAAACGCAAGTAGGCAGTTCCACGCATGATCTTTTTACTATATTTCCCCTCGTGCCTTGCACCTGTTGTGACTTTTGTTTCTTGTCATTTAATTTCCAACTTCTGGTTGTTTTATCGATATCATCCAGTACTTTACTCCTTGAACCGTTTTCGCGATTTTATTTCCTGCGTCTTTCCTTTCCATCTCTCTGCCAAAAATGATTTGTTGTTTTTGCCTTTTCTTGATAGCCTCGTGTTCAGTGTTTTGTATAAGATCGTAATTCATTAATCATGCTTGGATGGGCGTGTCTTGCATTGCTGAGAATAAACGTTTTTATATTGTTTTATTATGATGACTTGCAGCAAAACAACTGGATCCACTCGCCCCTTTTCACAAGACATAGTTGATCAGTAGGATTGGGCTAACACTTGGTACACCTTGGGTTTAATTGACACGTGTGCTTGAATTACCTACCCAACAAATCTTTGATTGGCTTTTCGATTTAGTTAGATTGTCATCATTCGTATCACCCGCTACGTCTGTATCAGCAGATGTTAGTCTATAAGTCCGATCTTTGGGTGCGATTTTATCAACCAGCAACCAAAGGATTATTACTTCTTTATTTACCACTTTCTTTTTACGTTTGTTGCTCTTATTATATCGGTGATATGAATTTTTGGTTGCCTCATCTTTTTTGAATTCTCATTTCATGATTGACGAATTTATTTGAGGCAGCTCATTAAGTAAGGTTTAGCAACAGGACTGCTTTTTAAACTCTACATGGAACATTGGCGAGTTGCATTTGTGTGAAATGATCTGGTACGTGAATGTTGTCCATTTTGCCCACACCATAGGTTCCAACGCAGTCGCTCCTTGACAGCGTTTCGAATGCAACAATGGTTTGCGACGGGTAAAAAGCATAAGTTAAACTGCTCCCTTCGGTTCGTAAGGGTAGGAGTTGCAAATTCGAATTTCACACAAGCGGACAAAATAAAGGGTGCATCGATAATATATATATATATATATATATATATATATATATATATATATATATATTCAGTCTGTTAACAGACATTGTGCCATCAGAAATATGGCAAAGAAAATATGTATATAGAAACACTAAATGCGATAAAAAATGAAAAGCGCTTTTTTGATTTTACACACGCCATTTTTATTTTTGTTTTTTTCGTGAGTTTTTTGTGTGCATTAAATGGGGGATAAAATGGTAGTGTAACATTGACGCCACTAATATCTGTTGTGGGCCATAACATCCAATGTTTTCCACCGTTAAGATTCAGCATCTCGTTGTCCCCAACCTGGAAGACGGACTGGTCCGACTGCCGTCAAACTTGTGGTTGCCTTCTTCATGCTCCTTCTCCACGTCATTGGTTGTCCACCGCGGCACTTTTCCCAATCGCTCGCTGCGAGTGCAAATAGCGCTCGACGTGGAACGCGATGGACTGGCATGCGCAAACCGTACCCGAGCCAACACATACCATGTCGGAGAATAACGTTCTGAAGGCTGACACTACTCGCTCCTAGCACTCCCTCTCGTACCTCTTCATTTCTTACGTGGTGTTGCCACCACACCCGAGCAATCCTTCGTAGACAGCGATTGTCGAAGACTGACATCCTCTTCATGTTTTCCGAGCGAATAGGCCAATTCTTAGCCGTACAAGAGTACTACATGTACGGAAGCATTGTACACTCTGCCGTTGAGCTTGAGACTGACATCACGACGACGCCAAAGGTGTCTTAGTTTGATAAATGCATGGCGGGCCTTGCAATCTGTGGAAAGACTTCATCTCCAACACCGCCACTGGTCGTGATGCAATTCCCTAGATAAATAAAGCAAGGGACTTGCTCCAGAACATATCCAGCAATGGTGAGCGCGGGTTCAGGCATCTGCCAATCCTGGAGCAGCGTTTTACATTTTCCCAGAGTGAAGCATAAGTCCTACTTAGATGCCTCCATCGCTAAGCGGTCCAAAGCATTCTGGACGATTTGTGGGTCGTCCAACAGCAAGGCGATATCATCGGCGCAGTCCAAATCCGTGACTCTGTCTCCGGGGAGGAGCTCAACACCGCAGTTCTGGACACCTTCCAGTGCTCTTCGGACGCCATCTTCGATGGCGAAATTGAAGAGAAAACATGAAATAGGGCAACCTTGGCGAACACTGCTGGTCACAGCAAACGAAGAAGAGAGCGTGCCTTAAGCCCTAACTTTACCCGGCGTGTGACTGTAAAGTTCTTTTCGGATGGTTACAAACTTGTTAGGCACACTTTTCTTCAGTAAACAGTTCCACAATGCAGATATATCTACTGAATCAAATGCCCCTCGGATGTCCGAAAACACTACGATTGTTGGCAGCCGGTGGACGTGACGAAATTCGAGAACTTGCTGAAGCGTGAAGATTTAGTCGATGCAGCCGTGGCCTGAACGAAATCCGGCTTGTTCTTCTCGGGAAAACTCCTCTCCACTCGTTGAAAGCCTGCGAAGTATGACCGACATGAAGATTTTGGATGCGACAGAGATTAACGTGGTTCCGCTGTAGTTACAGCAATCGTCGCAGGAGCCTTCCTTGTGAATCAGGACAATGACCGATTCTCCCCATAAGTTCGGAACTTTATGCTCAGTCCGAACTATCATGAACAACGTTGGGATTTCGTTGACAAATTCATTTCCGCCATCTTTGAATAGAGCCGGTGGTAGGCTGTCGGGACCCGGAGTCTTGTGGCGTTTCAAAAATTGGATTGCCTCTCGGATCGCTGCTTCATTTGGGGGGGGGGGGGACTGTGGAGACAGGCCAAGCATTGGGGCCGGAGATGCTACAGGGAGCTGTGTTGGGTGGTTGAATTGAAGAGCGAAATGCTCTGCCCAATGACCCAATCGCCTGTGAAGGTTGGTGATCTTTGTGCCGTCTGATTCGCATTGCGTCTGGTTGATAGCGTGGGAATTGCAACCGGTCATCCTGATGATGCAAAATAGACGGCGAAAGTTACCACCTATTGCAGCGACTTTCATCTCATCAGCTTGTTTTGACCACCAAGATTCGCGATCAGAGTGGAGGCATATTGGAAGCAAGGTTGTTGGTATGAGAAAGCACCATGCGAAACGGAATAATACGGTTGTGTTTGATTTTCACTGTAAAGAACAATCGGATTGCTCACCTGCCTGCACAGATTTACGTGCGTCAGTGTGGATCATAATTCCAGAAAGCTAGTAAGCCAGAATACGTCTCATTGTTGGTTTACAGTGCTGGTGCTATGGTCGCTCACTTTTGGAGCAATACGCTTATGTGGTTTTGTTAGTACTTCGGTTTACGCAATGATCCCATGACATGCGATGTGGTTACTTTCTCGATTTGTTAGGCGAGTGACATATTAAGGGTCCCTTGAAAGGATTGCTCGCTTACTTTGTAATCCTGAGGTCACTGGTTCGAATCCGCCTCCGTGTGCTCGTGAATGTATTCGTTTTATACTCAGTCCTCGCGCGACTAGTGGTGGTTGCATGGCAACGAAGTGTCGGTACAATGTACCGGCGTGTTGTTGGTACCTTTTCTTTATTCGCTTTTGTCTCTCTATATTCGAACCAGCGTAATCGCTCTCTTTTGCAGTCATAATGAACATATACTCAAAGTGGCCCGAAAAAGCCGTCCATTAAGTACTACAATTCTTCACCGTTGTCTACTCTCGTCTCTATTGTACAATGTTCTATTTGTTTCCAGGAGCTGAAACCTTATCTTGCCGCTGTGAAGCACACGCTGCACGCCGCTCTGTGTATACAAAATTTTCCATCTCAGGTTGTCGAGCGCCATAACAAACCAGAAGTCGAGGTTAAAACTTCAAAGGAATTGCTTCTGCACCCTGTTATCATTAGTCGCAATGAAAAAGAACGGGTTCTTATTGAGGGATCAATCAATTCGGTGCGAGTGAGCATTGCAATCAAGCAAGCGGACGAAATAGAAAAACTCCTGTCTCGCAAATTCACTAGATTTATGATGATGCGCGCTGAAGACTTTGCCATACTGCGACGCAAACCAGTCCCAGTAAGATTGCTGTGTTTATCCACTTGTGTGTAGCTTTTGTAGCATTAGCTAAGATACCTACTTTCGTACCGCACATAATATCGGGGGTTACTTAGCTATTATTCGTTTCACACGAATTTGCGCTTCCAGTCTGCTCAGTGGTGATCACGTTCCAAGTGATGCTAGTATATGTTGCCAATATACATCTCGCCATTTTCTATCATCTCAGCGATACTGTACCCCGACTTTGTAACCACCCACCGTACTTACACCATACGGCTCGGTGGAACCCGATTCGAGCACATTCTAGCTCGCTGTTCTAAAGTGCTTTCGCACCTACCACCTAGAAGCGCAATGTATATTCTTTAAACCACGTGTGAGAGTTTGCATAACGATTTCCGTACTTTTGTAAAGCACGATGAGGAGATTAATTCCGTCAGTTGGATACATTTTGTATTGCCCCTTCTCTGATGATTTCATTCAAACTACGTCGGATTCTGTGTTCTCGATGTGCTTTTGTACACTTGCTTTCCAATGCAGCCTGCTATGATATCAAACATTCTTTACAGCTAATGATCTTAACCACTGGCTGATCTAATCTATCTGATCTTATTAAACGAACCACGATGATAACCAACCGAAGGCGACCTGAGGATTAAGGACTTAATGCTTCAGTTGAAGTGTTTATCATTCTTTGCGTAGTGGATCTCAATCGGAACTACCTGAGACTGCTACTGGGACTGTATTTAAGAGCAATTAGAAAGCTATCTGTACAATTATCGAATTACGAAAAATCAAAAGCATTTGATTACGAATCGTCAACGGTAGTGTTTAGTCAGTCGACTTGTGTCAGGCGCAGTCGTCCTGTGGCTGTCCAATGGAGGCTACAGTGATAGTGGTGAAGCCTTCTGCAAATTGCTGACCCACCTATTTGAACTGATCCAAAAAGAAGTGACCATTCTGGCTAACAGGAACGGTACCCTCGAGTTATGGAGGAGCAGGCAGGTTTGCGCCCAAGACTTGGCTGTATAGACCATATATTCACTCCGAGACCAGTGCTAGAACAGCGTCATACGTACCACAGACCGATAGCTGCTGTGTTCCTCGACTACTAGAATATGTTTGACTCCTCCAATATATCTATTCTGCTTAAAAAAATTTGTGTCGAAAGTGTTCACATGAAGTGTGTAAACATTTGTTGTACCGTGTATTCGGACACCACAGGTGACATGTAAGTTTACGGTTAGTTGTCGGATTTTTCCATCAACCAAGTGGTGTTCGTCAAGATTGTCCTATTTCCCCTTCTTGTTCAACTTTGTCTTGGATCCAATCGTGTGGTGTTCTCTTGCGGAAGATCACGATGCCGCGTCGACGTGTTATACAGTCATGAGGTACTTGATCTTAATTATGCGGACCATTTTGTCTTGCTGTTCGACGATGTTGGGACAGTCCAGTCAATCCTAAATAAGCTCTCTAGAGTGGTCCCATCATTTGGCATGCGTTTTGCACCTTCAACATACTGTGTTTTTGTACGCCCACGTGCAACTTACCGACCACCTGACCCTTGATAGTAGAGAACTCGAGATAGTTGGCAACTACATCAGCGATGTATGATGATTTGACTGGGTTGACCGGCAGATCATCGTCTGCAGACCACATGGACAGGCTGTCGAGGTCATGCTGAAGTACGTTGCAGTCGTGTTGAGCATCAATTAGTCTCCGCATTTTCAGGTCGTCTACAAATGAGGCGCAAACCGCCTGTCGATGCTGAGGTGCATTGTTGATGTGGATCAGAAACAAAATAGTCCCCAGCATTGTGCCTTAGAGTACCCCACTGGTAGTGTGATACCAGCACATTAAATAAATGAATAAATGAATCTTTTATTTCTAGACGATACGAGAGACTATTCCCACATAGAGAAAGATCAAAATATTTACAGATTTTTTCATTTCGTCCCCTCTACATAATAGATGGCAATATGCATTGTTATATCCATGTCAATTTCACACATGCACGTTGTTCATGGTGAAGTGTAGACGATTGTGATGGGGTTATATCCTCCGTTAACGGATGTCCCGTTGATCTCGACTAGCGCGGTCTGACCAGAAGACAGCCATGGGACTTTCTTGGATAAGTTGTAATTTTCCTTCGGTCCGGCGTTCCAAGCTCTTTCGTGTCCAAGTAGTGCGGCAAGCTGCAATGCACAATAAATACCTCGCAGACGGCTGTACGCTCCAGCCGCTTAGTAAGAGGCCAATGTAAAGGTGGCAGCTAAGGAAGCACGGGAGAGGGAAGGGAAAGTGCCGGAGTGGAATAGGAAGGTAAGGAAAACAGGACACAAAACCGATCGACCTCTTACGTGTTAACGTGTCACCGTGACGCCCACGGACCGGCTACAAGGTCATTCTTTCAAACTCCCGCTGACGCGTAATCCAACTTCATCGATCGATTAAAACCCGTTCAGAAGTCTCAGTTTGTAATGGACTCAGCGAGAAAATAAAATAAACAGTAGTATCAAGCTAGATATGGAACGGCTACAAAATGATTACCACTAATAAATAAAGCTTCGATAGCTGGCAGAGAACTATCCAAACATATGGGCATCAGTTTGCACGGAATATATAAAAGTTGGCAAACGTTCTTGTGATTTCCCCAGTAGTTGTTTTTGAAACATCTAAAATTGCGGACTCATGCAGGAAGCCTTAGGCTGTTGGAAAAGTACTTCGGAATGATACGAAGATTCTAATAGCAACAGACTCTGGCGCTGAGTCCTGTGAGAGCTCAAGGTGCCTCGTTTGGTAGATGACAACATTTCAGTGCCACGCAGCTACAATAGGAAAAGCAACCTAGATGATGGCAACATGATTTCTAAATTGTCAAACGAAGTCCAAAAAGTGTGGTATAGCACAATAATATTTGTGGTCATGAGTTGTAGTGGAAAGCTTTATGACCGCTATACTCCGGATTATTACGGCATACAGTAATGCTTGTGTGCGTTACCAGCCATAATCTCTGTAGTTATTCTGAACGATGTTAAATTTTATTACGCCAGGGTAAAGTACGAATAATAGTATAAGCGTGGAAGAGCAGGTCTGTGAAAAATATAGGAACTGGGTGTCCCCCCCATCATAGCCTGAGATTTAACAGGCGCAATGTGGGAAATGGAGTCAGGTAAAAGATAACTTCATGGAGAGGGCCAAGGAAGAGTGTGGAGGCGGTCGAAAATCCTGGATGTCTGGCTATCCGAGATGACAGGAGCCACTCTGACACGCGGTTATCTTTCAGGCCCGGTTAAACGAATATGGAAGATTGCAGAGCAAGATGATAATCATGTACGGAAAAGGATCTGGCTTCTCATTCTATCAATCTACCAGTGTTGACATTAACAGATGGCGAGCGTACAAGTCTGATAAAAGTTAAGAGATAGTGAGGGACAAGGTGCGGTGAAGTGGAGTGACAAAGACCTGGGTCATCTCTGTTGTTTTATCAGACCAATAGTTAACCATCTATCTGGAGTCTTATGGAGTACAGAGGTAAACTTTTTTTGAACCAAGACAAGGCAAATAAGGAAGTCAGATGATCAGTAACCAGTACAGGACAGTTAGGAGAGTTAGTGAAACGAAATGAACCCAACCCTTCTAATGCTAGGCAACCCGGTAGCCCAAGTGTGGCAAATAAAACATTGAAAGTAGAAAAAAAAGTAAAATAACAAGGGCAGATAATCACGGTCAGAAGTTAATGTGCAAGATGAGATTTAAACCGAGCAGTATTTGGAATGCGGTAGATGTAAGGCTCGACCTTCAAAGTTCGATGGAGCCCCTATCATAAACGTGGTCCAGAGTTGTAGATTCGCCCAGTGTGCGTAATATCTCCTCTAGAGTGAGGTGGTTGAATACTTGGGCCCGAAATATATGCTTAGTGTTGTTGCATCTGATGGATTCCGGCAGCTTATTCCATAACGTTGTATGCCCTATGTGAAAGAATTTGGCGCGCAACCTTGTACGTACTCTAGGGACGCAAAAACTGGGTGATCTATTTCTAGCTGGATATTGATGGCAAGTGCCGAACTGGACAGTACCCGGCTCCCCAGAACAAGTATGCGCTAAATCAAACAGGAAGATAAGATTAATCCTAATCCTTCTCAACAATAGTGGTTCTGGCTTCAGCAGTTTATGCCGTTGTTGGTAATTCGAGGATGCAAACCCTAGTAACCGTTGTACTTTTTCAAGGTTGATTTTGTCGTACATTTTGTAATTTGTGTATACTAATGGGTAATATTTTAAGACTGGATGTGCATATGCTTTATACATAGCTAGCCTGGAGTCTGACGTAACGTATTGAAAATACTTGCTATGCTAAATCGCTTTCGCGGTGATATGATGTGGTTGTTTGGAGAAATTGAAAGAGCTTGAGTAGCGAACTCCTAGGTCACGACTCGTTCTGCAGCAGGTAATTGGTTTGTCATCTAACGTCAGTATGTCTTTAATAAAGTTGTGTCTGAAGACGAGGCTTTACATTTGATAACAGGGAATGTCATTTTCCACTTTCGGCACCACCGCTGTAGGGCGAAGAACTCCATCTGTATTGTTTGGACACCGTTTGGTTCATTTATGCTATCAAAAGCGAACACAACTTTGATATCATGGACGAAAAGAAAGGGTCTACCATGTCGAAAGATTCGGAAAATGTCATTTATGTATGGTAGGAATAGTAGTGAAACGCTTCCCTGTATGACGCCGCTGCTTACTGGTATAAGTGAAAATACGCAGTTTTCTACTCTGACACATTGGGTGCGTGTAGACAAGAAAGATGACAGCCATGCTAGTAATGGGTTAGCAAACCCATAAGAGGTTAACTTTGTTAGAAGTTCTGCATGGGGTACGCGGTCGAATGCTTTTTCCATGTGTAAAAAGAGAATGGGCATCGACTGCTCAGAGTCAGCCAACTTGGGGTACGTAGTCCAGAAATTCCAATTGGCAAGTTTGCGGTGATCCACCACAGAGGAATCCATGTTGCGGCC